GAAAAAGTTAAATTTAACCACAGGAGAAAAAAAAATTAGGCAACAGTACACCGTGAAATATTCTCTACCTGAGCCTGGTCTCTTCAAAAGGTAATGTCCATGAGAGAGTTTGATAAGAATGACTCTTCATAGCATTACCCACAACCATAATGAGAAGTAGACAATAAATGAGGATAGCACCAGCTCAGAAAGCTTCTGCATATCAAAGGAAGCAATTAACAATGTAAAAGACAACTGATGGAATGGAAAAATACATATAAACCATGTATTTAATAAAGGGTTACTATCAACATAAATAACTCAAGAGCAAAAAGACAAAAACAAATCCCTAATTTTGAAATGGGCAAAGGACTTGAATTGTTGGTTCTCAAAAGGAGACATGCAAATGGCCAACATACACATGGAAAGGTGCATCCACCTCTGCTCATCAGGGGAATGCAAATCAAACAATAAAATACCACCTCACACGAGTTGGGTCAGAAAAGAAAAAGGTATTTTCTTTAGAGGAGAATCTGGATAAATGGGGCCCTCTGGATGCTGACAGTGGGGATGTAAATTGGCACTGCCATTATAAAAACAGCATGAAGAATCCTCAAATAACTAAAGTTATAACCACCTTGCAACCCTACTTCCAGATATATACCCAAAGGGAATGAAATCTTTATATGGAAGAGACATCTGCAACACCCATGTTCACTGCAGCCTTATTCCCATTCAACAAGACAGGGAATCAACCTAAGTGTCCATCATGAGATGAACATGGTTTTTAAAATGAACTACACATTTGAGACTTGGTTAAAATGAAGGGAATCCTAGCATTTGCAATGCACGCTAGAACTGGAGGGAATTATAATAATAAGCCAGGCACAGAAAGACAAACACTGTGTGATCTCATTTATAAATAAAGTATTTTAAGATGTCTCACAGATGCATAAAGCAGAAAGCTGGGTGCCAGGAACCTGGGGGTGATGGAGAGGGATATAGAGATAGAGATGTTGGTGAAAGGAAAGCAAGTCTCAGACACGGTGAGTAAGTTCTGGGGATACAGTGCATGGTAATTATAGTTAATAAATTATAGTAATTATAAATAAACTACAGTAATTATAGTTAATAAAAATGTACCGTAAACTTTAAAAGTTTCTAAAACAAAACAAAAAAAAATCTTAAATGTTCTAATACAAAATTATGTAAAGTGACAGATGTGTTAAAATGCTTGAGCTTATCACTTCATAATGTTTACATCCACCAAAACATCACTGTTCTGGCTTAAATAAGAAATATCCCCCATTGGCTCAGGTGTCTAAAACAGTCCCATTTGATGATGCTGTTTCTGGAGGCTGTAGAACCTCTAGGACACAAGATTTGGCTATCAGCTATAGGCCATTAGGTGTGGGTTATGGTCTGGCCCTGCTTCTGGTCCTGTCTGCTTCCTGGTCTGCCAAGATGTGAATTGCCCTCAGGCAAAGCCACCCCACCATGGTGGACTTGATATCCCTGATACCGTGAGCCAAAATAAACCTCTTGTGTTTATTTGAAAGAAAAACAATCCTTATAACCACATGAGGTTATAAGGAATTTGCCTCCAATTGTGACAATGTCTGGGTTAGATGGGTGATGGAACCTTAATGAGATAGAGCCTTGCTAGAAGTACATCAGTGAGATGTGACAGGCTAGGGTCAGAGGAAAGGGAAGGAGGGCCTCCCCAGTCAGTGGACTTGGGGAGGGGCATAGGAGGAGATGAGGAAGGGAGGTTGGGATTGGGAGGGGATGAGGAAGGGAGGGGTTTATAGCTGGGATACAAAGTGTTTAAACTGTAATTAATAAAAAATTAATTTAAAAAATGTTTAAAGAAATTTAAAAAAAAGAAGTACATCAGTGAGACAGACACTGAGGATTTATAGGCTCATCCCATTTCCTTTTCTCTCTCTGCTTTGTGTTTATACATAAAAATGTGATCAGCCCTTTTCCTGCTCCCTCCACCATGTTATCTGTTGCCTTCCCCACCATGGTGGATTCCATCCCTGTCATCTGTAACCTAAAATAAACTCTCTGTTCCTTAAGTTGGTATTGAGCATGGTATTTTATCACAGCAACCCAAAAGTAACAAATATACTCTCTGTTCTCTTGATTGCTTCTGTCAGTTCACAGTAAAGAAAAAATAAAAAGATAAATACAACCACTTTTTACACGGTGAACATACATTTTTATTTGTCATTTTAAAACATGAGAATGTTCTCATACACATATACAAAAGATTATTGCTCCATGATTTAGAGGAACAACCGACTGAAACATAATATTACTGAATCTCAAAGTCATGATCAGCAAAGGACACCTGATGTAAAATATTACAGTATGTCTCCAATATGAAAGTCCAGTACTGACAAACTAGAGTGAGAAGTCAGGTCAGCAGTTTCTTTCCAGTGGGGGCATGAAGGTACATCAGAGAGTGAAATATATTTCTAAGTATTGATCTGGGTATAATGACATGAATGTGTGAACTTACCAAAAATCTACTGGTAGGAAGAAAAAATAGCATAGAAACGAAGAATTCTCTATAATAAAATGGACCATAAGAGTAACAATCAAATGGTCAGTTTTAATATATAAATAAACTTTGTATCTTGATTGGAAAAGTTAACTATAAAATTTATCTTTGTGATAACTGGGAAAACCTAAATATGTATACAATATTAAGGTTTTAACATTGATTAACCCCAATTATAATCACAGAATTGTGTTGTGTATATGCCCTCATATTAGAGTATGCATGCTCTAGTATTGAGGAGTATCATGATGTCAGCAATTTACTTTCAATTTTTCAACAAAAAGTATTTTGCATATATACATGCACATATACATAGACAATTCAAATTAATGTACACAGGTCATAAACAAGAGTTATTCATTAATATTCTCTTCCACTTACTCTCTATGGTTCCAGTTTTAAATTTAAACAGCCAGGTAGAAAACAAGACGGCACTCTTCAAAAATGTGGAGTGATCCTCAGAAGATATTAAATAAAGTGCAGTTTAGTTTATGTAATATGCTGCCTGATGTGTAAGAAAATAAATACATATCTTATGTATGTGAGTGTGTATCTGTTTATATCATGACAATGGTTACCTATAGTTATGAGTAAAGATGAAAAACTGGCTTAACATAAACCTTCTCATATTACAGTCTGGGCCTTTATGTAGTGTAAATGTATAAAATTTAAACATAAAATTACAATTGAAAGAATATTTAAAATATTTGCGGTCCTATGGTTCAATTAAAGCCAAATTAATCTTGTTTAACTTGTGTGGTTACTAATGGTCATTTTCGCTCCTTCTGAACATGAGAATTATGTAAAGGGCTTTTGCTGGTTGGAAAATATAGCATCTACAGCACATAGACCAGTTAAAGAGATGAAATACAATGTCTTGGAAGAGTTGGGGAACTATAAAGTACTGTAACTCAAGTGTTTATAAACATAAATTTGCGCCGGCATATTTCAGCGATATAGCTATCTATTTGCTTCAGTAAAACATATACTAAGAAAGCAGCGCAGTGAAATAAAATCTCTCTGACTCCCTCCGGCTACAATCAAAACAGAGTACTTCCTCTTAGCAAAGGGCTGGTAACCAGGGCAGCCAGCCTGTCAGACAGCTGCCTTCTGTCAACCTGCGAAACCATTGGTTAGGAATAAAGGAAGCAGCAGCCAGTAACAAAGTTAGAGACTGGAGCTCGGAGTTTTACTAACTGCTCTGGGTCTAGCACATTTAGAAAACCATTTTTGCATTGTTGTGGTAAAGTAATTTTACTTTGCAAAAAACGTTCCCAGAAAGTCAACTTGTGATGCAAACACAGACGGCTAGGGACACTATGGTTTCTGAATTAAAAACCTCTGCGTCTTGAACAGAAGTTTGACTCCCTAGCCCTGTAGCACTATGCCCCACCCAATCTTCTCCTTAAGACTGAAAGGTCAGTGCTGTTGCAGTCTCAAAGAGGGAAAGGAAGGCCAGGAAAAGTGGGTAAGCAAGCCTGAGCTAAGTGCAGAGAAAAGCCTAGTGTGGAGGCCAAAGGGAAGAAAATACAAGAGAGCTTCTTGGGGCACACCCGGAAAATGACAAGGGAATGTGTACCATTCTCTCTCTCTAATGTGTACCATTCTCTTAACGGGGCCACCTCACGGATGAAGGCTTGAAAGGACGTGGAATAAAGAATGGAAGAGGTTCTCATAGAACGCAGGAGGTCTCCTCTAGGAAGAGGAGAGAGGTCTCCCTCTCAGTGAAGGGGACTGAAGGACTTTGAAAACCTCAGGAAACTGCTGTTATCAGGGAGGGTGAGGGCTTCTCAATAGCTCCTCACTGGAAGACAGGTGTGTTCCTTGTCTCAGTTGGATCCACAGAAGGAGGCTGGACAGAGTCCCCTCACAAGAATGTGCAGAACTGAGGGGAGCTGCAAGTCTGAAGAAGCAGCTTGTCCAGAAAAGCTGACCCGGTCTTTCCTGAGACGACTGGAAGGATGCAAAGGGATCCTTCCTCAAAATCTAGAGGGTTTGGGGACTGCGGGGAAGAGCTGAAGTGGCTTCGTTTTGAAAAGTTGGGCTTGTCCTGGGAGAAGGCAAGAAACTTTGTGCAATGACGTCACAGTGAGTTGTTTTTGGGGTTAGGGACTCCACCTGGATTGAAAGGGGTTGCTAAGCTAACTGGAAGCTCGGGAAAGGATCTGAAAGCCTGCAGCGATTTTGGCGGAAACGCCACACACACAGACTAGAATCGAGGGTCCAGGAGTCCCTCACCAGAACAGAAGTAAAGCGGAATTCAAAGGGGACTTGCTGCCCCGGGACCGGAACTCTGACAAGTGTGGAAGAGATCCGAAAGCATTCAAACTGGAAGTTGGGGTGAGGTCCCCCGCGAGGCTGGTGTAGGAGGGCGCTCGAGATTTCCAGGGGGGCCCCGAGCCGGGGCGGGCGGAGGACTCGGAGGCAGGGGCGGGACAGGACCAATACTCACAGAGCGGATCTCCAGCGCCAGGGCGCATTGCAGCGCCTTCACCTTCGGCATCCGCGCGGGATAGGGCGGCGGGGAGGGACCCCGGCCTCCGGCCCGAGTGCGGCGGGAAGACGCGGGGCGGGACAGGGACGGGGAGGAGATGAGGTGACGGCGGAGGTGGCAGCTGTGGCCCCCAGGCCGGAGCCCGCGGTCCAGCCTGGGTCCCGCCCGAGCAGCAGCTGAGCTCGGGGCAGGGACTCGTTGTCATGGCAGCCTGGAGGGGCGGGGCCGGAAGAGCCGCTCCAGGGAGCGAGAGGCGGTGGGCGTGACTTGGATTCCGGTGGGGCGTGGCTTATGACGGGGGACCTGGTAGCTCTTCTGTGACGTCAAGCTCTGAACGCAGGCAGGTTGGAGAGGGAACAGCTGTGCTATGGGCCAGTGCTTATAACTGGGATCCCTGGGTTCCAAAGCGGTGATGGCATCGCGGTCATGTGTGTCAGCCTGTGGCCTCAGTTTCCCCAACTGTACTATAATTAGTAACCTTCCTTAAGTTTGAATTTTATGATACAGTTTATAAAACCAATGTAAGAAAGGGGATTATGTCCCAACACAAAGGCAAAAATGCAGGTGCAACCCAAGAGCACTCAAGTAAAATCTCAAGTATCTCCAGGATTCACCATCATGGTCCTCTTCTTAGTTCCTTGTTCTGTGATTCTCTTTCAGTGCGTCCCTATTTCCTTCAGGATTTTCTGCCCAATTCACCACTACGTGAATCTCAATGCCTGTTGTTGCTCAGTCTGAACTCTCCGTAACAGACTCACAGTAAACAGGAGCCCCACAGTAAAGAGAGAACCTGACCTTAGAACCTAAAAGACTGTCCAGCTAAAGTCCGTGATAAAATTGTTTCACTACAAAATACATTAACTATACTGAAGAGTATAGAACACATTCTAAAAATGGAGGGGAAAGGGCCTGTGTTCTTATCACCCAGTTAAGAAACAGGATGTTATTGAGAGAGGAAAAAAAAGCCCTGCAAGTACACTTTGCAATGACGTTTATTACAGTAAGTCTCCTGTTCTTGCATGCATTTCCAAAGTACATTACTGTTCAATTTTTTGTTTTATGTTAAATAGAGTTAATACTTACATGTTCTGCAATTTGCTTATCTCCTTATGCTATGGGAGCCGTCCAGTGTTGATGTCAGGTACTTGAACTTTCTTCCACTATTAGACAATACCCAATACAGAAATGTACATTGATTTATAAATGTACATTGTTTATCGTTTATAAATGATCACTTGGAGTGTTCATATTTAGCTCTCATCCAGGATGTGAACTTCCTGGCATATGTTAGCACTTGAAAGATGGTTCGGCAGCTAAGAGCACTTGCTCTTCCACAGGGCTGGAGTTCATTTCCCAGGACCTGCTTTGGGCAGCTCACAACTGCCTGTAACTCCAGCTGCAGGAGATCTGGTGTGCTCTTCTGACATCCTTGTACACTCTTGTATACGTGTACACACACACACACACACACACACACACACACAAATATTCTTTAAACCTTCAGAATATGTCTGTGAATGTGAGTGTGTAAGAAGGAATGGACCCCGTGCAGGTATTGCATATGAAGGATTTTTAAAGTGGCACACTATTACATCTTCCAAATCTACCCAATTCCTGATTCATCAAGAAAAATGTGAGAGCTTTCCTTCACCCTTGCCTCTATTGGTGTTTGCAGTTTTAATCTGTATTGTTGGTGCTCATTGTGGTTTAATTTCGCATCTCTGATTACTGCTAAGTTTGAGTACCTTTGCATGGTTTCATTAGCAATCCACCCTCCGAAGCGAGCACCCCAAAAACCATTTTTAATTCAATTGTTTTTTTTTTCCTGTTTTAAAAATCTTGTGTATTCAGATAATTATTTTTGCCTGTTCTGTGTCTTGCAAATACACTTCCTGCTTTGTGCGTGATCTCTAATTTATCATGTGCAAAATGTGTAGGTATGTGTGTAATGAGCAGAAAAGTGGTTAAGTCTTGAAATGTGAACAAATCATTCCACTGATATCTGAAGGTCACAGCCCCATATTACTCCTCTTGACGTTGCATTCTTGAGGTCTCTTGGGTACCCCGACATGGAAAACACCATCTTGCTTTGGATTTTGTCAGGTTACTAGAGACCAGTCTTAGCACATGGCTTTATGAGTACACGATTTTCTTCTATCTTTATTGTAAATTGCTCATGTCCCCTATTCTTTTTTTAATCAGGTCATTTTTCTTTCTCATAGTAATTCTTTGTACCTCATTGATTAATGTTTCTTCACACATTGCAAATATCTCTTTGGCATCTAACTATGTGCATTTCCCACAGTTTCCTTAATTGATAAGAAGAAGAAAGCCAGCTGTGGTGGCACACACCTGTAATTCCAGCACTCAGAGGGGCAGAGGAAGGCTGATCTCTGTGAGTTCAAGGCCAGCCTGATTACAAAGTGAGTCCAGGACAGCCAAGGCTACACAGAGAAACCTTGTCTCGAAAAAAAAAAAATAGTAAAAGAAACACCTAAATTCATTGTTCTAAATCTAGTAGTCATTTTGGTCTTATATCTGTGTCTTTTAGTTAATTTTCTACTTATGTGACAAAACACCAATGACCTTTTTCTGTGTGCTTAAGTGCCCAAGCTACTGAGGGTCTAAGTCCAGGCAGCCGAAGAATGTGGTAGGTAACGGTTGCCGGCGCAAGGGTCATTTTGTCGTTGGGAAAAGAAGGGCCCTCACCCGTGGTGATGGTGGTTATCAAGATGAACCAAGATGCACATATAAGAGCAGCAATTAACCAAAAGTTGATAGAAGCTGGAGAAAGAGAATGCCTCAAAAAGTTGCTGAGAGCTACATTAGCTGAGGGTGGCTGGAAGAATCAGCTGAAGGCACACTATAAAGAGGTAATTAAAGAAAAAGGACGAGAACACGTCACTGTTGATGACTTGGTGGCTGAAATCACTCCAAAAGGCAGAGCGCCAGTACTTGACAGTGTAAAGAAGGAACCTCTACAAAGAATAAACACATTCTTTGCTCAGCATGCCAGTCTTTAGGGGTGAATTAGAATGTGTTGTTCTGTGGATTTATTTCTGAAAGTAAAACTTGCCATAAATTCGAAATTGATTTCCCAAAATAAAGTCCTTTTTTGTATGATGAAAAAAAAAGTATTTAATTGAGGCTCATGGTTTCAGAGGGTTAAAGTCCATGATGGTGGAACAAAGGCTTGGCAACAGCAACAACTGAGAACTCACATCTTGATCCTCAAGACAGAAACAGACGGGGGGGGGGGGGGGGGAAGAGAAGAGGCAAGAGAACAAACCTTTTAAAACCCCAAAGACCATCCCCAGTAACACACCTCCTACATAACAGGGCCACACCTCCTAATCCTTCCCAAACAGTTCCACTAACCAAATAGACAAGCATATGAGCCTAGGAAATTTTTCTTTCAAACCATCACAGTTTGAGTTTCTTACTTTTTAAGAAAACTACAGTCATAGTTTTTTTTTTCTTTAATATCATGTGTTTTTCTCATGAACATTATAGGTTTACTTTCACATTTTGATTCTGAATAAATCAAAACTTGTATCTTCTATGTGATGTTAAAGTAAACCAAGATTCAGTTTCTGCCCTGAGCAGACTTAGCTGCATTCCCAGCATGGTCTACTAAACATTCAATGTGCCACCTCATTGGTTTGTGGCACTACCTTGTATTGCCTGTATACACCTCCTCAAAGTTTAATCTTCAAGCTTTGTATTCTGTTCTGGTGTCATACTGATTATTCTTTAAAGCAGCATACTGACTTATTACTCTGATTTCTATTGTTAATAGGTTTAATTTCTAATTAAATGTAGTATTTATTTAACTTTAAATTAAAAGCATTATTTATTTTAAGGTTTAACTAATATTTATTAAAACATACTATCAGTTGTTCTATTTTCTAATGTATTTTTATTCTTTGAGAAATTCATGCAAGTATGTAACGACATATGATTATATACATCCCAACTTCCCTCCTGGAACTCATTCCGTATCCTCCTCAGTACCTCCCTCTCCTAACTTCATGTCTCCATTTTGTTTCTCACTAATCTCAATAAGTACCAGCTGTATGTGCATGGACGTGGAAAGAACCCTTGGAACACTCCCTCAGAGAAGAATAATTCTACCTTTCCAAGCAACCATGAGCTGCTATTAACTCATTAGGAAGACGTGTGGCTTTGGAGACCATCAGCTCATATAAAGGGAAATGTGTCTGACTAGAACTTCTGACGCTAACACAGCTGCAGTGAGCTAATGAATGTAGCAACCATGTCATGTCTAAAAGACAGCCATTCACAGCACTCTTCCCCATCATCAAGCCCCATCGTCAAGCCCTTTCATTTTTTTCTGCTTTCTGTTCCACAGTGTTCCCTGATCCATGGGGGATGGTGTATGTAATAAGGATGTCTCATTTAGGACTAAATATTCTAGCTCTTCTTCTGAGCACTTTAACCATGTGTTGACTGTAGCCCACTGCCAAAAAAAAAAAAAAAAAAAAAAAAAAAAAAAGTGCCTCTGAACAAGGCTGAGAGCAACCTAGAGCATCCTAGGTCCTGTCAGAGCTATCTCAGCCTGGGTCTGCAGTTTCACTATTCTGACCTCCTGATGTGTGGCTTCACAGCCCGTCTGTGAAATAGATTTAGCTGTCTGTGGATTTTCATTACTTTTTTATATGTTAGACTAATTGTATTTGAGTTCCTCAGATAGTCCAGCTGGAATTTTGATTGTAAAAAAAAAAAAAAAAAAAAAAAAAAAAGCTTTCTTATTATTTTAGGCAATTAACATAGTTTTAATGGTATGAATACATCTAAGAGCATGGGATATATCTCCCTTTGCTAGACCATACTCGGTGACCTTACCAGAAATGTTAGGTTTTCTTTACAGAAATGGTATAGCATTTCTGGGCATTGTACTAGGATTGGTTTTTTTTCTTTATGCTAATGAAGATAAATTCTTAATTTTTCTTTATGTTTGCTGGTTTGTGACTGTACCTACACAGAAACATTACCTTTATCGTTTGATCTGCCACTCTGTAGACATCTTAGTAGTGAGTAGTTTGTGTTTGTCCTATTGCTGCTACTGATGTTCTTCTTACTGTTCTGACTTCTTATTGCTGCCACAACAAGTCGCTTCAGACTCAATGGTTTACAACAACACAGGTTTGTCATTTTACAGTTTAGAAGATTGGAGGCCAGACACAGAGTTTACTGGGCTACACTCAAAGAGAGGCCAGAAAACCTGCTTCCTTCCTAAAAGCTGTGGCACAGCTGTTTTCTTACCATTTTCAGCTTCTAGAGGCCTCCGGAATTCCTTGGATCATGGTTTCCTCCTACCATCTCCAAAGACAACAGTTGCCAGTTAAATATTTCTCATTCAGACTCACTTTCTACCTCCCTCTCCCGCTTGCACAGACCTGTATTATGTTAGGTCTAGGAAAGCAAGATCATCTCTATACCAATTTGTAACTTAAAATTTTGCTTGTCCACATAAAATGACTAAATGTAGGTGATGGATCTGAGTTCTGAAAGAAGATATAAAGCCAATTGCCTCTCTAGTTAAAATTATTACAGTCTTTTTTTTTTCCATTTTTGGTGGTGGAAAAGCATGTAAAAATACATTCAATAGTGAAAGTGTAAAATTCAGTGTGGAGGTCCACAGATTCAGAATGCCTATTCTAACTATCCAGAAGTTCATTGTTATGTTTTGATGTGTGATGTTTATTTTATTTGCAAGTTTTTTTTATAATAAAGTTTATTTTTTAATAAAAGGGTGAAGAGTGACCCAAGATTAACCTGTCTTCCACCCATAGGTGGACACACACATAAATATGTACGTTCTCATAGACTGCACACACACACACACACACACACACACACACACACACACACACATACACACACAGATGCTAACATATTCAAATTCCCTTTATGAACTGATTATTGATATAATCACATAATCCCTTGTAGCCATTTATGAAGTAAATTACATTAGTAGATTTTTCTAATGGTATATATTACATATGCCCTCCACCATTTTATTTTATGAATCTGTTTTCTGGTATGTATATTGGCCAATGTTTAAATTAGGATTTTACACATTATAATAAGAAAACCTATATGCTTCTTTTATGTCTCTTTCCTCACTATACACTGTTATACCTACCTGGCCAAATAAGGAAGCGACCATGTGCCCTTACCCACAGAGCCCTGAAGCAAGAATTCTTTTGTTTTTCTTTAACTTTTATTCCCCTTATGTTCTACAGACTGTGTAAATTCTGTTGATCTGTTGAATAGGCATCTGTCTCTTCTAATGTCTTCAATTCTGCTATTAAGTCCATTTAGTTAGTTTTCATTTCAGTTATTATGTTACCCAGTGCTAGAATATCCTTTTGTCAGCTCCCACACATCTGCTAAGATTCTCTACCTTCCAGTCCCTGTGACCACTTTTACCTTTACTTTTGAACATATTTTTTTTCTTAATTTCTCAAATGTTTCAGTTGTGGTGGTACATACTGCTAATCCTAGAACTCAGGAGGCAGAGGCAGGTAGATCTCTATGAGTTTCAGGCCAGCCTAGGGCAAGTAGCAAGTTACAGGCCAGTCAGAGCTACATAGTGAAACCCCATCTCAAAAAAAAACAAAACAAAACAATAAAACCACCAAACCTCTTTCTCAAACACGATTACAGTATCTGCAGCTTTAAATTCCTGTGTGTGTGTGTGTGTGTGTGTGTGTGTGTGTGTGTGTACACAATCATGCACATGTATGTGTGTGTCGGTGTGTGTATATGTGTGCCGTGCATGTGTATGTGTGCTCAACCGTGCAGGGATGTGTAGAGGGCAAACCTTGCTTCTTGAGAGATCTCTCCGGATCTGGAGCCTCTGTCCAGCTGCACTGCCTGGCTAGCACAGCCCTGAGATGCTCCTGCCTCTTTCCTCCTACTCCATCCCTCTGTGCAGGAGTTACGGATGCACGCAGTCACAACTAGACTCTGCATCTATGCTGAGGATCTGAACTTGTATTCACAGGTTTGTGTGTTGGGGTGCATATGGTGTTCAGAGGCCAACTATGTAGAGCCTATCAACTCTTTCCTACCTTTGCATGGGTTCCAGAGGTCAAACTTGGACCATCAGGCTTGCATAGTATATGCCTTTACCTGCTCAGCAAGCTCACTGGCTCTTGAATATCTTAATAACACACTGTTTAGCACAGAATTCTGCTTTCTTTGTTTTGAAGTGCTGATTGTTTTATTCCCAGGCAGTTTAATCACTGGCTGCATACTTTAAAGCTGAGGAGATATAATGGTCTATCTTGCCAGTGGAGAGCCTATGGTGTTTCTAAAGCCCCACTAACTGATAAGAATTTAACTTAATTTCTGAATCATGTTTTCCTCTGGGTCTTGTCAGGCTTGATTACAAGCTTTGCTGAGTTGAGTCTACTGTAGACCAGACCTTGGGTTCTCACTGCTGAAGCCACCTTCCTGTAGCTGTTAGTGTACAGTGAGATGCATGTAGGTGAGACCTGTCTTCTTGGCTGCAGCTTTCCTGGGTCCTGGAGGACACAGATCAGAGATTTCTGCTTATACTTCCTGCCCACTCGTGAGTAATAACACCTGCCTTGCCTGGCATATTCTATGAACATTCTGTCTCATTGGACTGTAAAGGCTGAGTTTGCGAACCCAGAACTTATGCATTTACAAGAAACTGTAGGGAGAATGTCTGTCTGTCTGAGAAAGTCTGGAGTTCTACTGTGCCCTAGTATACTGATCCTAACTGTTTCTGTGCTCTCTCAATCCTGTAGCAGCTGCTACCTGGCAAGCCTTAATGGTCCCACTCCATGCAAATTGAATTTATTCCTCTGCCTTGAAGTTTTGAGAAAACCCCTCATAGCTTTCTGGGGTTCTCCCTGCACAGTTCATTTTATTCAGATTCCTGGAATTGAAGATTACAGTATCCTCAGCTACCAACGTGACCTTGCCTCCTCAGTTCACTGGGGCCACTGTGAAGTGCCTGGCTGCTCTCTACACATACCACAGCCCGGAAACCATTCCCCTGTGAAGCAGAGGACTCACCTTTTGATCAGACTTATATT